CACGATGTTTTAAGTGAACGAACGTGCGTTGTGGTCTAATGCCCAAAGATCGAATTCTAGTCGAGTTCGTTACATTCTCTTGGGAAAGGTATGACACACTCTCTTCTGTTTCCAGCTATGGGGTGAATAGCCGAACAGACTTGGTTCTTTCGCCTTGGTTGGCAACCAGTCTCCTGCAAAAAAGAAATGGCAACGTACTGTAGAAAAACCTTCCGACTAATTATTCATGGATCGAATCACGTATTGCTCTTCACTGACTTGTGAAGAATGTCTTTTTTTTTTTTTTCTATGTAAGTACCTTTTTATGCTGTCATTGGTACAGGAGTTATTTTGTCAAATTGAAATATATTAAAAAAAGAACTCCCAAAAATTCGTTCATGCGCATGTGTAGTTGTATCAATACTAATACGAATCTAATGATGTTCTACGGGACCAAGCGCGTCACACGAAAACTTTTTCCCCATTGGCATATATATATATATATATATATATATATGTAACAGATATATTTACCAAAATTACACAAAAATATCTTGAAAAAATTATTTATCAAATAAAATCACCATTGGATTCAACAACGGTCTCCAGAAGACTTTGGAATCTCCTGCAACTCTTCTAGACGGTCTTCTTGTTCAGGCATTATTTTTGTAAAATATAATAGTAAAAAAGTAAACTTAAATAATTCACTTTGTTTATTCATTTATAAAGTTTATTTGTTGTCTGTGCACAAAAAGAACGATGATTTTTCTCTATTAAGGAATTTTATTGAAATGTTGTTTTGTAAATTATTTTTCTATTGTTATTGAGATGAATTTGCGTTACTACCAAAATAACACTTAATGCTCGCAGGCTTTTAACAAATTTTCTTTTGCATGTGATTTTTCAAATATTGTTTGTTAATGATAACTGCTTAATTAATAAATTACCTTAGTGAAGTTCAAGATTTCTCATATTGTCTTTTTAAATATTTGATTTCTTGAAATCAGAAAAAAAACGTGTTTTCTTTCATATTTGTCTTAGTTCTATAATGATGAGAATCAACGTTCAACAATTATGTTTCTCATTCTATTAGTTTGTCTTCTAATAGATTCTTATAAACCTAATAGGCCTATTAATAATATTAGTATTATATAACAAACTTATTAAGAACCTAAAAGTTTTATTAACTATGGGGTTCTTAATAAGTTCTTATTAACAATCCTATTAGGTTGTCGGGAAAATAATATCCGATTTTACAATGAACATTTTCCTTATGTTCTCATATATTATTATAATAGTTGTACAAAATATATGACTCATTCCTAATGATTAAAGTGTCCTCTTTGTTAATTTTATATAAATCTCTCTCGGAATTCTGTTGTGAAACACTGACACAACCTGTGTATAGACTGAAAAGTTTTATTAAGTTGGTCGAAAAATAATGCCCGATAAAAGTTTCATTGTCTTCTAATATATTCTTATAAAAGTTTCAAAAAAATATATTACATGTTATGGGGTCCACCCCTTTTTCATACAAGTGGACTCGACCAATGTGTACTTGTACTGCTGCCGTTAAATACCCAGGGTCAGAGTAGACAGAGTGATTGAGTGAGTAACAGACACACGTAGAGTAATAGTGTGAGGTAACCGCTTTGTAGGAGTCACAGTTGCGAGCACGTAGACTCAGAAGGAAGTCATACTTCGATACTGAATTTACCAGACTGTATATATTATTATTGCTACTAACCGCGTTTCTGGACCTACTAAGCGTATTACCAATTGTATTATTACGTCAATACATTTATTTGCTATATTTCATTCCTGCGTTTGTCATTCATTTGAGACCGGATTCCATCCCGGAATCCACAACATTACTCATTCCCAATGATTAACGTGTTCTCTTCGTTAATTTTACATCAATCTGTTTCAGAATTTAACTTGAAATATTATATAGCCGTCATTTTCAATATGATAAAGTAGAGATGCGTTTACTTTTTTGAATGAGTTCAAACTTGGTGATAATGCTTTTCAAATTGCAGCCAACATTAACAGAGGGCGAAGGGATACATTTATGATCGGACAGTATGGCGCTGAAGTTCCGCAGTGGGGATACGAGTCTTCTCAAGAAAATTGGCAAGGGGAAGAAATTCGATAAATTGTTTCCACATGTAAATCAAAGAGTTAAAGTTTTAAGGTGTTTTCTGCAAAAATTCGAATGATCCATTTCGTGATCGAATAATTACTTTTGAGGAGAAATGGATCTTTTATGGAAACCGCAAACGATCGACTCAATGGCTTGATCCTTGCGAAAAACCCTAACATTTTCCGAAATTGCCCTAACAGAAGATTATGACGACTGTCTAGTGATCCGCCATTGGCGTTATCCATTAAAATTTTTTGGTATCTAATCAGGTCATCCAAGCCAAAGTTTACTGCCAATCAACTAAGACCGGCACTGATTTATCGATGAGATCCAGTTATGCTTCATGACAATGCTCGGCCACATGTTGCCGAAATGACAGCGCAGAAACTCGCCGAGTTGGGATAGGAAATTTTACCTCATGATCTCTCACCCAGACTACATCTTCTGAAATAATCATTTCTTAATTTGAAAGACATTGTATTGCAAAAATATACATATCTTGACTTCAAAACCTTGATAGATTTATTAAATAAACTTAGAATTCGATGGCAGAAACGTACAGACGTTCAGGGTCCCTATTTTGCTGATTTAACTACTATTTAAATATATTAATCCAAGAGTAAAAGGTTATTCTTAAAAACCTATTAGTTTTAAAAATGTCCCCCACTTTATGTTCAGTAGATGCCTATATTAGTACTATTTGGGCAAAAATAACGAAAAGGAATTGTTAAGCAATTATTAGGGGGATCAGTTTAATACTTAATAACAATTGAAAACCGATCACCCACTTTATGCTCAATAGAAACTTATACTGACACAAGTTTAACCAGGGCATCAAAAAAACGAAGTAATTCTTGGGGATCAGTTTATTACTTAATAACTACAGAAACTCAATACCACGATTCATGTCTCCACCTCCTAATTTATATCAAGTAAAACCTTATATTAATACTAGTTTAGCCAGTCCGTCAAAAATGATAAAAAGTAGTTGCTAAATAATTCTTGGGTGGTCGGGCATACATATATATATATATATATAGATAGATAGATAGATAGATAGATAGATAGATAATATTAGTGGTAAATATACACATACATGTGCAAAATATATAGATATATATACATAGGTGTATACACGTACATGTATATTTTTTGAATAAAAAATTCCGAGAGGATAGAATCCAGGTAGAACTCAATGTCCAGGACAGAGTAAGAATATAATAAAAAGGCTTAAACACTAATATTCCATGGTCATAATTTATTCCATTAGATTCGTAAATACGATCCAATTCATCAGACCTTCAAATTCAAAAAGAAAACAGAAAAAACAACTCCGGAAATAAAAACAGAATTTAGAGAGAGTGTAAGTATGAGGAGGAGGGAGATTAAACCTTAACAGAGAGAATTTTAGGAGAGGTGGGTGGAAGGGGTTTAAGTAAGAGAAATATGAATGTTGTCGGATGTCTAATGCATAAAGATACATTTCGTGGTGACATACACACACCATAGACGATCTAATGTTGTAGATCAGAATAAGAGGGAGGGAGAGGAAAGGAAAAAAGAGGTGGGGGGGGAGAGATGGGACGAAGGAAAGTAAAGTTGCAGGAGATTTACTAAAAGGGCCGCTGTGTAATTGAGAAAATTTTACAAATTTAATATCGACTACAGGTTAAAATGAATATAAACATATAAAAAATAAATATAACGATTATCTAATCTAGCAAGGACCTATATTTTATGTTCAAAAACACATGCGAATACACACATACACAATAACATATACACGTATATACATACACATAGGCGTGTATTCACATACATATACCCATGTACACACATATATAAATATATCCACATATCCACACATCCATCTATATCCATGCCCGATCAACCAAGAATCATTTAACAATCAATATATATATATATATATATATATATATATATATATATATATATATATATATATATATATATATATATATATATGCCCAATCACCCAAGAATTATTTAACAATTACTATATATAGATATAATCAGCATGGCTGAAGCTGACCTGCAGGTGAAAGAGTCCTTGCGAAATAATGTTTTTCTGCATAAAGTGGAAAGATTATATTGAATCAATTGCCAGGTTTTCTGATCGGTTAGTTGGTTCACTGTGCCGTGCCAAAACAATTTATTTCGCCAGAATCTATATTACATATTTATAAATCGTCCATGCATTGAATTTTGCTATCAAATCTGGTTTTGGGCTTCTACTATGTATTTAGAGATTCTTGATAAAATATAAAGATAAAACTGCAATATTATCAGTACTGACATGACATCTCAGTCACGTTGGCACAACCGAAACTAGCTTCAATGTGCCTAAATATTTTCATTGTAATTGCTCTGATGCGCATTCCTCTTTGGTTCGTAGAATTTATGAATTTAGGCGTGCTACTAGATTAGCAGCAAGATTGAAACTGAAAATTGCTAGATTTAACCATAAGTTCTATGCTAACAGGCAGTTTTCGTTTGTGGAATTCTCTTCGGGTTTCATGTTTCCCAGTCAACGTCGATCTTTAAAAATGTAAACGCAATGTCAATCGTCATGTCGTGTCTTCTTGATTCTTGTTCTTCTATCGTTCTTGCTTCTTAATGATTTCTTTTTGGCGTATTCTCTCGCACTCAGTAAACCTTTCTGTCGTAATGATTTTATTGCCTTTGGGATCGATGATAAAAGAATGTTCCAAAAAGATTAGTAAGTTAATATTTGACATCTCTTGTTCTAGGAATAGTAAGTACAACAGACTTATTCAAATATTAAGAAGATCATGTTAATACTTGAAAAGAGCGAAATTACAATCAACGTGTGCTTGGCGACGGCATATATATAACTTTAAGTATGTAGAAAGCTGGATAAAAACAAAATCTGTGCTTCAACTGATAGATAGATAGATAGATAGATAGATAGATAGATAGATCTGAACAGACCCAAATAGATAGATAGATAGATATCAACAGACTGAGATGGATTGAATTTATAGATAGAATGATAGATGATTGTGTATATATATATATATATATATATATATATATATATATATATATATATATATATATATATAGAGAGAGAGAGAGAGAGAGAGCGAGATAGATAGATAGATCTGAACAGAGTTGAGATGGATTAAATTTATAGATAGAATTATAGATGATTATATATATATATATATATATATATATATATATATATAGAGAGAGAGAGAGAGAGAGAGAGAGAGATATGAACAGACTGAGAAAGATTGATTTTATAGATACATAGATAGAAAGTCTAATAGATCTGAACAGATAGATAGATAGATAGATAGATAGATAGATAGATAGATAGATAAATTTTATTTATGCCAATAAGACTGACTTCCTTGGGAGGAAGAAATGGAATTATATTTGGTGTAATCTTCCGGTCCTTAAAAGTTGGTGATGCTGCCAATGTCAATGCGTAGTATTATTTAATGTTGTTAGTATTTTTTAAAGTTAAAATTCACAAAAAAGTTTTACATAAATAATAACTTCACCAAAGACAATATTTCTTCAGACTCCTATGAGCTGACTCTTCAATATCTTGCAAAAATAAATTAAAAGAAGTGTCCCAAAGACTCTATTCCATTGCATATATCCTCAGTTTTCCAAACATAATCCAGTAGAGATCTTTTTGTCCTTAATTAAAAGATATATTTTTGAAGAATCGGTAAGATTTTATAATTTTATTTATCGATACTATCGTTAGAAACAAAGAAAAGAGTACTGAACTGTTGCGTTATACCAATCCAGCAACGGATGCTGGACAATCTCCTTAGAGATGATGAAGAGACTTGAATCAATAGAAATTTGGTCCTATAGAAGGATGTTGGGGAAAACCATGAACCAAACATTTGAGCAACGACGACGTTCTAGAGACAATTAAAACAAAATGGTCATTTATGCCTAACATCAGGAAGAGACAAAAGGAAAGACAGCTTGGAAAATTTGATACTCTCAGAAAAGTTCGAAAGCAAGAGGAACGGAAGAAAACAATGCAAACAGTTTGAGCTTGAGCGAATGGATGCTAGAGCTGGTTTGGGGAGAAATGGGGAAAAGACAAAAAATTCTTGAAAGCTACAAAGCACATGATGTTTTGAAGAGTCATGTTCATCAACGGCCTGAAATGACACAGAATATAGAAGTAAGAGGATAATTTTTTATATTACTGAATATTTATTTTAACGCTTCAATCATTTCTTAACCGGTACGTCGTTGTATATGTAGTAGTTATCCGTTAATCTCGCGAGATTAGCACCTAGTTTGGTCTAAATTCAGTACTTCGATCGTAAAACTGGAGTGACCTTTCCAGCGCGTTGGACTGGGCGAGGGTATATAGAGGCTTTGCACTTCCCAGACATCATCCCGACCTTCACATACCGGCCCTACAGACATGATCCAAAGGAATACCAAGGTATTACGTTTGGGGACGCCATTGTTGAGAGCCAACGGCCTTCTTGGCTTTATTTCGAGTTTTCTGTCCGGATTTATTCACATACCCACTCTGTGTTTTGAACATGACAGCAGAGATTTAAAATCAGGGTTTTCCGAACCCTTGTTGGATAAAGTTCCTCAGCTATGGAGCTCCATCTACCCGAAATAGGTATTTGACATCTGAACTATGTACGAGTTTATCTGTCAAATGTATCCTCTTTTTTTCTTTCGAAGGAATTTGGCAAGCGCTAAAATATATAAATGTGTAGACTAATATATATATATATATATATATATATATATATATATATATAATGAGAGAGACAGAGATAGACAGAGAGGGGACAGAGAGATACTATGATAGATAAGGAGAAATTGATGTAAATTGATACATGCGCAAATATAGATAGATAGATAGATAGATAGATAGATAGATAGATAGATAGATAGATGTGTATTAATTAGTACGTATACGCGCACCTACTTTTTTAGCGTTTTGCAGGGTACACCTCATGCATAAATTTAACGATTGTTTATTTGCTTACCTGCGTGTGCACACCAGCATACGCGTACACGCCTCTCTTTTATTTGGCCGTTTCATTTATCCACTCTACAACTATATATATATATATATATATATATATATATATATATATATATATATAGATAGATAGATAGATAGATAGATAGATAGATATAAATGGTGATATACAGTTACATTATATATAAATACATATGAATGGTGATAACAAAGTTTCATTACAGTTAGATAGATGCAAACAGATTGCGATAGATAGATAGATAGATAGATAGATAGATAGATAGATAGATATGAATGGTGATAAACAGTTACATTACATATAAATACATATGAATGGTGATATCAAAGTTTCATTACAGTTAAATAGATAGATGCAAACAGATTGCGATAGATAGATAGATAGATAGATAGATAGATAGATAGATAGATAGATACTAAAACTGTATGCTGAAAGGAAGGTATGATCTAATAAAAAATTATATCTCAACATCAACATTGTTAAATTTTGAACCAATCTCTTTATTCACAGGTCTATTTATGTTACATTAAAAACAGCCTTTTTATATTAATGGCGTAGTACCTCATCATCTATATTATTATGTCAATGACACAATTTATAATGCAAAGGTTTATAATCTGTTCTCAGTGATCGATTTGATGACAAAACGTTTAGAGCCATTAAGAGAATTGTTTGTGTCGGTTGCTGCAATCATACATGATGTCATATTTATTATAAGAATCTATAATTAAAATGCCTACAAATTTCCTACAAAACTCTGTTCTCCTTATCACTGCAGGTTCTAATATAAGTCGCTTGCTTGTTTCTATGTATTAGCCAACGTTGAGCCCAACGTTGAGCCCAACGGCTGCCCTGGACTCATTAAAATTCATAGTTGAGAAATCAATATTGATGTCCTTCTTTCTTGCAACTTTCACGTTCCTTCCTGTGATCTTTACTTAAACTCTGATATTTTGATTGTTTTAATGTCTTTAGTCAATATTCTACAATGTTTCCTCTTTTTGCATTCGCAACACACCACCTTCTTCAAATATGTTCTTGAGAGCCAATCCACTTTTCTTGAACATAACGCTTTTCTTTATTTTCAATTCCTTTTTTTATATTATTTACTATTTTTATTTTTTTTATTTTTTGTCAATATTTCCAATTTTATTTTTGATATATCTCTGACTTCCATCAAAGTCTTCCTAATTTCAATGGTTATGTTCCTAACCGTCAATATTTTTAGATAACTTGTTTCTCTATTGTAGTATTCCTCAAACTTTGTTTTTACTTCAGGGCATGATTGTAGAATAACTAAAAATCCAGCTTGCACATTAATAAGGAAATATTAGTCATGAAATTTGAAAATGTGAAATTTTGGTTTCCCATTCGCCAAAGAAAATTAGCAGTGCAGTTTTCATTTAAAGGTATTTATGAAGAATCTATTTTTTGGAGAGGTCGATAATAACTGGTTTAAATCCCCTGAGGAAGGCTAAAGGGAAAGTATTATCCTCTCCTTGAAGATTAAGCATCCAGTTAAAAATATCAAATAACAAAGACTTGACTTAGACATTGTTGCCATGTGCATGGTGTCTCTAGCTTTTTACAAATAAAGATTTATTTTTAAATATAAAAATAATTCATTAATTGTTCTGCTATTAAATTGGGGTGCAGCTGACTACCTTACAGGGTGCATTATTGAGCCTCGATGCACCGTTTGAGAAAGCTGCCTATTATGTCGATATTTTTTAAGACCTTACGACAATATGATTAAAATATCTCGTGTTACATAAAGCCTGACCTTACTAAATGGGGCGCAGAATTAATTTCAACTCGGAACTAATTTCAACTGGGAACCAATTTCACCTCGGAACTAAAGGTTAGCGTTAGAGTTAGAGGTTAAGCTTAGCATTAAGGGGTAGGGTTTCAAAATTGAGTTGAAATTAGTTCCGAGTTGAAATTAATTCTGAGGTGAAATTAGTTCCGAGTTGAAATTAGTTCTGTCACTCTACTAGATAAGTTATTGCAAAAATTTCTCATAAAGTTTACACGTGTAGAGGAGTTATAACTCTGAGCAAATAATTATAAACCCCACCTCTAACACGTATATATAGTAAAATACTCGTATTCATGAAAAATCTTCATGAAAGATAGTAACACTGGGTTAAATTGTGAGTTTGAGATCAAATTTCTAATGTTTTCTTGACTCGAAATTTTGAGTGTTAAGAGATAAATGTTACTATTATCGCCTGAAAAAGGAAAATAAGCCGAAATTTTCGTTGACACACGTGCTGATGGCCTGTCCGTGTTGACTATTTATAGTGAGAGTATCACGTGTTTGTGTGCGTCGAGGATAAAAGTGGGATAGATTCTCATTGGTTTAGAAAGAATGAATTAATAATTATAACTGTTATAATTATTTTATTATAATTATTGACATTATAATTATCTTTTCATTTATTTTTTATGGACACGACACATGCCTAACATTCGGCAGTTTAATTTCGCGCATGGCAAAGAGTTTAACTTTTTTGTACATTACAATAATTACGTTCGTTGCTTTAATCTTCGTAACCAAAAATCTACTCCATTCTTTTTCTTTTCTTCATTTTTCTAATTTGTTTTACGTTTTAAGCAGTTTAATATGTTAACTCTCTAAAACCAATTTTGTTTACGATCATTTAACGCTAAGTGCAATATTTTTCCACCGCTGAATGTCTCATTAATTAACGCATATTTTAGTCGCATATTTCTTCTTGCACTTACCATCTTTTTGTCTTTTTTCAGATTTCAGAGAAGCTGTAATGGGTAAGATTAGTGTTAATCTTTATTTCGGAAAATCTTCTTTCTTTTTTCCTTTTTTCTTTTTTGGTCTACTTTATTTTTCTTCCCTTTTCCAGTTATTTGTTTCTTATATTTTTGCTTTCGCATTTTCTTTCCTTTCTATTTCTTCCCGCCTAAATACAAGCCAACTTATTTACACCATATGAACACGTTCTCTTTATTTTTTAAACTAAATTAAAATTTTCTATTAAATTGAAAATTATTTATTTGTATTTTGTTGCTCGCTTTAAAATAATATATATATAGTTATTTCTTTTTTTTTCTTTCGAAATTCTGAAGCCGAATTTAATCTAATAGTTCGACCTAATTTTGTTTATAGAATGTAAAAGAATAAATATGTATGTTTAGTTTTATTTTCGATTCCAATTTCAATTCAGATTTCTTGATTTGAATTTCGTATTAAGTTCGGAACACAAATTCGCCCTTTACCTTGAAACCGACAATTTACATATTCTTTTAACAAAAGAACATTATAATTGTATTTTCTGTTCCACTACAAATAATGAACATGTAAGACTTCATGATTCTGAATACATAATTCTACTGTTGAACACGAAATTTGAATATTCTTTTGAGGAGTATTATTTTATTTTATTTTTTTTATCTTGGCTCCTTTCTTAATCTTTTATTTTTTTATCGTGTCCATTTCAGGGTTTTGACAATAAATTGACTTATGAATATTAAATTTAATTTTTTTTTTTATTGACATTGTTTTGTTTTTTGTTTTTTTTAATTTGAATAAAGTGTTTTGAAACTCTCTGATACCTTGTTAATTTAGAAATTCTTCTTAAATATTTACATTTTTACTTTAGAATGTGGCAGAAGAAATCTTTTTTCAGTAAAGATCAATATATTTCTTTGTTTTTTCTTTTCTTTTTCTTTTTTTCTTTTTATTTTTATTTTTAGTAGTGGAAATTTAATATCATTAAATTAGAGACCAAAACAAAACGACATAGATTACAATCAGTATTAAGTAAATTGAATAGAGATAAGTTTACATGAATATGAACTGGGTTAATAAATAAAAAAAATTCAAAAGATTTATCTATCGAACAAGATGTTTCGCAGATAAACAACTCGTCAGCGTCAGATAACAGATTTATCTGATGATGACGAGCGATGTAGCTGCGAATTTTGTAATCCAATATATAAATCTTTCGATATTTTTGAACGTATTAACTATTTTTTCTCCTTTTTATTTTATTTTTTATTTTTTATTTTTTTTGCCGGAAGAATGTTATTCTTTAAAATCCTTGCCTTTAAACTGCAGTAATTTACTGGACGACGCGTTAAAGATCTTTTTTTTTTTAATTAACAAGCAAGGTAATAAAGTCACTAAGATACAAGGGGGTTACTGAACGTAAAGAGATATGATAACGAAAACGTTATTAAGGGAACGGGAATAATAAAAGAGGGGTCAAGAAGACAATAGATTAAATTTTTGAACATCAAAGTTCCTTGAAAGCAAAAAAACGGAAGAGATTTCCACAGGCGAGAAGTGTTACAGAAAAAACTGTTAGCATACAACTTACGGTTACACAGGTAAAATATGAATTTTATAACAATATTAAACTTGCATCAAGGAGATTTTAAAACATTTTTGATTTTTAAAACATATTTGTAATTTAAATAATATTTTCTAAATTTGATGTTTTTAAATCATTTCACCCCACGGAAAGCGGAAATGCCACTAGGACACGGTGGCTTACAGGAAGTGGAAATGAGAGAAAAGATTGCGTATGTGTAGTATTGATAATAGGATAAAAGATGAACAGGCGTCAAGAAGATAGAAGATGGCGATTGACGTTGCATTTAATTTTTTGAAGACTGCATTTGTCAGTGAAACAAGTAAACAGAAGGAAATTCCACAGCCGTGAAGTGCGAGAAAAGAAACTGTTCGAGTATAAGATGCAGTTTCATTTAGCCGTAAACGTGTGGGATTAAGATGCCAATCTAGTGACGCTTTTAAATTCATGCAGTCGGGTCAAAGTGAAAAAAAAAGCTCGCCAGAGACGTTGTCATGAAAATATTTGTAGAAGAGACAGACTGAAACCAAGACACATCGTTGAAAAAGTTGTTGAAATCAGGCTTGATTACATTGCAGATCCGTCTTTGTATTTTGCAAATAATCTCGAGATGAATAGCAAGGAGTACCAGACCAGATATATCAACAGAATTCAGTGCACGAGTGAACGGTGTATTTGTAAATGTGCAACATTGACATGAAACAATGAAACAAGTTTCCTTGCAGTAGATGCAGCTATTGATTCAATGTAGTCGCTGCAGGCCAAGAAAGCGCAGTGTGTTGCTCCCCAAGAGTCGAACACCAGACATGCTGATGGCAGGCAGAAATGTTTCTGTATGATGATTAAATGAGATCAGTTTTGTTTTTGAGGCGTTCAAATTTAAAACTATATCCTCTGCCCCTGCTAGACACTGATTGGAGGCACTTTCATCGGCAGCAGCCAGATTTATCTTATAAGCTCAGGCGGATTTGCTATTGAAACAGAATTAAATGGTAGAGTCATCTGCATAATTATTCATTAAGGATTGTAATAATGTTACTTATTATAAAACGCATATTGTGTGTGTGTGTGTGTGTGTGTGTGTGTGTGTGTGTGTGTGTACGTTTATATATTGGATCGGATTTCCTACATTTTTCAACCGATTTCAACAAAACTTCACAGGACTGCGTAAAATTACCTTGCGGTGGTTCTGACAGCGCCAAAAATTGGAAAAACACAATTGTTTTTGAATGAAATCAATTTGAAAACACGATAAAACACGATTCTGTCGCTAGAATGAAAGGGGGACAACTCATATCGAGTTATACTTATTATAAAACCCAGGTTGTGTGTGTGTGTGTGTGTGTGTGTGTGTGTGTGTGTGTGTGTGTGTGTGTGTGTGTGTTCGTTTATATATGGGATCGGATTTCCTACGTTTTCCAATCGATTTCAACAAAACTTCACTTTTTGGTGGGGCAGGTAGTGTTTCTTATTGTCTTGCACACTTTTTCCTTATTTTTACATTCAGAATGCTTTAAAAATTCCATTTACAAGACAATTGTTTATAATAAAATTCTATTCAATCGGTAGACTCATAAAGAATGAAAACAATGTTTTTGTTTGAGTTTGGGTTTGACCAATTCGTAAAAAACAAACAAAACAAGAAAAAACTACTTAAGACATGTGTGTCCGTCAACCTTAAACAAGAATCTTTGTCAATTTTATTTTTCAGTCTTTATGATGGTCGATACTTGATCTATCTCTTACTGTTACATCCCCGGGCAACGCCGGGCTCTACTGCTAGTTTCTGAAATTCTGATAAAAATACTTTATCACATCAACAATTTATTACCCAGTCTATGTACTTCTCGCGTCTTTAATTCCTCTTATATTTTTCAGGTGTGTCGGCTGTTGGTAAGTTTATTTTTTGTTAATTTAATATACTCTATCTCTTTTTCTTTCTCTCTCTCTCTCTCTCTCTCTCTCTCTCTCTCTCTCTCTCTCTCTTTCTCTCTCTTGTGTGTTTGTGTGTGTAAAATATATCAATATATTATACATGAGTTAACGGTTTTCTGCTAACATTAACAAAATTTGGCATTAAATAATTAGCATAAAAAAATTAAATTTCATAGCCTAATAAAAGGTTTAAAAGTTTAACCCAATCACAAGATAGAAAAACCCTTTATGAAGTCGTTAAAAACAAATTGTAGTTCAGGGCGACGCGTTTAAGTACGAAACAGCCCTTTGGGAAAAAAATAAATAAATAAATAAAAGGATAAATAAATAAATAAAATAAAACAAAATTCTCTAGACACTTCACGGCATATTATGGTGCCAAAAGTAATCTTTCGCTGTGACTGACCAGACGATGTGCGCACATGAATGGCATCATTCATTTTGAAATGAATGCCCCCCACCCTATCTCAGCTTGAGCTCTTCCCGAAGGTGACTGATATGTAGATAAAAATTATCTCCTAGAACCCTTACCAAAATGGTCGCCCCAGTTGTTTCCATAGTGATTAATTTTGCGAATAAACATGCTTATAAAGATGCGTAAATTTCAAGATTGGTTATTCCTAAATTTTCGCTTCAGGATGAAACAGGACTTGATATTTTAAATGAATTTAATTTTAATAATAATATTCAGGTTTTCGGCTCTTGTTTTTGAAACATGAGAACTCTTATGTAGCGAAGAAATCATATTTTTTTTTTTAAATAATCATAATTTAAGCTCTACTTTGTATGAAGCACTTTTTTTTAAAATAAAAACAAAAATACTAAAGAACTCCGGATTATTTACCTAACGTGTTCTTTTCCTATTTTTCACACACACACACACACACACACACACACACACACACACACACACACACACATATATATATATATATATATATATATATATATATATATATATGCGTGTGTGTGCAATTTTTATATATATTATTTATATATTATATATGCACAGTACTTATTGGAAAGCACTCAATATCAGTGACAGAGCTAACATGTGAATCCAATATATATATATATATATATATATATATATATAGTTGGACTGATGTGAGTTTGTGACCCTGGGTTTCACACTATTTGCGTTCATCAGACAAACAGATTAATTTTTAGTTTTAGTTATGGTTGCCTATATTGGTGTTTTGTTATGGTAATTGGCGGAAAAATTGTCTTCGGAAACTTACTCATAATTACGCAAGCAGACACACACGCACGTTTACTCATTGACGTACCCAGACATACATACACGCACAATCACCTATTGGGGCTCACACAAACATATATGAACAGTGCGGGACTGGGCATATATACTCATCCATGTGTCATTGCGTCTATATGTACGCATTTGGTCGCTGTATTCAATGTTGCATTGTGTGGCGAATATCTTTCATCTGTTGCAGCGTCAACGCGCAGACCATTCGTCTATTTTGCTGAATAATGTTTTCTCGCATACACGTATATACATATGCACATGCGTTCACACATCTATCCGTCTGGGGTTTTTTTTTGTTTTTTTTTTTTGGGGGGGGTTATGATGGAGTCTATGTAAGACTATGGTCGGTAAAATTTCTATTATTTTTAATTTTTTAATGCTGTTTTGTTTCACACGGTCGCGCCATCAACACTAAACTGTAATGCCAGCAGCTAGACCACGTGAACAAGAAACTAAAGAAAGAGTATCTTGCTTTAGATCACTCGAGGTTTGCATTTGTTTCAGCAAGACAATGCGAAGTCACACACTGCCAGGTTGACTAAGAAGAAGTTCAAACAGTTGGACGGTATTGAGTTTTTTCCACATCCACCAATCAGTCCTAATTCTGCTCCGAGTGACTATCGCTTATTTCGCTCAATGGCACACTTCCTCTGGAATTAGCGATTCAACACTTGATGAAGTGAAAGAAGCTTGTCTACAGTTTGTTTGTTTTTTTCATTCAAAGCCATCGGGCTGGTATCTGGGACAAATATACGGCATCTGGCAAGATTTGAAACTGCATTCTCTATGACGTTGGATCTGACGTGCTTAACTGCTCAGCCACGTAAAACTTACGGTCAAACAAAGCCCGAATAGAGCGGTTAAGCACGTCAGATGCAATGACGTTTCCTCATAGAGGACGCAGGTTCGAATCCTGCCGCAGGACGCATATTTTTCTGACAAGATTAATCGAATATTCAGGCCGGTAGATGTAGTTGGATAAAAATATTATTTAATTAACAAAAACGGAGCTTCCTTTCGAATATGATTATCCCTAAAAAGTAACGTTTAAACAAAATAAATTAAAAATAACAATATGGCAATATTCATTTCTCATATATATATATATATATATATATATATATATATATATATATATTAGTACTTATACTGGCACTGACGAACTGGGAACACCACACAGCGAAACTACACTCGCATGCCAAAAACGTAGGTACACGTATATGTACTAAGTAATACATATCTTTGCTCTGGATAACTGCCTTGAGAACTATTGCGTTTACACCTCATGCATAGATTTAATGATTATTTATTTGCTTGCCTGCGTATGTTCACCAGCACACGCGTACACGCCTGCTTATATTTGGTTTCATATTTATATATATATATATATATATATATATATATATATATATATATATATATATATATATATATATATATATATATATTCATACTTGTTTCATTAAATAATATAGACAAGTGTTGTCTATTACTTTATGTAAATTCTTTTCATATCGTCTGATAAGCTTAATAACATTATCATTAAACGTAAATCACAATATTTGTCCATATTTTTTAATCCAGTCTAAGCTTTCGGCTTACATAAGCCATAATCAAAGATGTCAATTACTGTACAATATATTAAGCAATATACGCACAAGACAGCGATGATAGTCTGTTCCTATTTACATGGATGATTTCCTAGCAACGATAAACACGTGCATATAAGACGCTTGAAGCGAAAATCGCGCCGTAGCTCATGACGTCACACATGTCCACGCGAGAGTGAATTCGAGAAGTATTAAGTATGGGAAGCCGTTGGTATAAACCAATGGCTTCTGTTACCAATTATAGACATTTATGATATCTGTGGAGATTTTAAAGTTTATTTTGTTCAGGTTAGGTTTCAACTGTTTTATGTATATAGCTACAAGAATTTTTAGTTTTTGTTTATTGTTTTCATGTTTAAGTATAGTTGTGTTTTCAACAAGGATTTTTCGGAATTGTGTATGCGGCCAGGCATGTTGTTTTAAATGCCCGAAAATATTAGAGTTTTCATTCAAATGTAGTGTCAAGCGTCGTGAAAGCGAGTTTGTGGTGTGACCAACATAAATATTATTTGGTTATGTTGGTTTTTTTGCAAATCGCTAACCGGGGGAGAAGAATCATTGCGAACAATTAAGTTGGATATACTAGATTTAGTGTAGTATATGATGAACTTAACTTTTTGCTCGGATCTGTTGTTGATATATTAGTATTTACTAATTTTTTAGTATATTTTCATCTTGTTTATAAATAGTATGCATTTGATTACGATATAGGAGATTAATATGTTTGAGATTAGTAGAAGCAGTATTATGTACTATTTGCTTAGTATTGAGATAATAAAACATGTATGAATGAAAAAATGCTGCCTAAATACACACACACATATATATATATATATATATATATATATATATATATATATATATAAGTGTGTATGTGTGTGCGTGTGGATGGGTACGTGTTGACTGCTAAACCAGATTCAGCACACACCTCACAAATTATACAAATTGATATTAATTGTAAAAAAAACATTAAGAACCTCAGCAACAACTCTACAATCCCCACTCTTTTGGTTGATTGATTGACTGATTTGTTTTGTTTTTTTTTTTTTTTGTTTTTTTTTGGGGGGGTATCAGCCTTTTTTTATGTTATTTAAAGCTATATTTTTAGACTTTAAGAATTATATATATATATATATATATATATATATATATATATATATATATATATATATATATGGTGATTGAAAAGTAACTCTGTATTTTATGTATGAGTGGCCATCCAGGAAGTCTACTATACCAAACCAAAACTTTGGAAGAACATGAAGGGCGAATAAAAGAAGTTTTGTCTTCCATACCACAAGAGTTCCTTGTGTAACCAATTCGCGCGATTCATAGGCGCCTCGAGAAGCTGTTGCCCCTGTCGAATTTTAAATCAAACCTTTGCTCACATATCCATTTCTTGTAAAAATTGTAGTTCATAAGTAAATTATAAGTATTTTAAAATGGGGCGTTACTTTTTAATCAGCCTGTATTTATGTATGCACACACACACATATATATATACATATATAGTTAATATTTTTGCATCCACCTGCAAAAAGAGACTAAAAATAATGGAAGCTTTAATAATAAAAAAGAAAAAACAATTCTTAACAATATTAACTACGAACAAAGCCACAATGTGCTAACATCCCAATCACACACTAAGACATACACAGAACGCGCATACTCAATTAAGCTGAAAAATAGAATCATCCTTGATAATGGCTAAAGGTATAGCCGAAAGCGCTCGGAAATATAAAACATTTGGACAGTTCTTAAACATCTCTTGTCCAGAAAAGAAAGCTCTTGTTCGAACACAAGAAAATTAAATAAAAGCTTAACCGTAGTACCTTGTCTGTAGTTTTTTACTATATATATATATATATATATATATATATATATATATATATATATATATATATATATATATGCACATGTTCGAATCCGATGTTAATTGTTATTTTACAATGACCACAACCTGATACTTGATGTCGATTTCTGGTGTTTTTTAGATTGAAACGTTGCGAGTCAAAATTTGTTGAAGTTTTCTCCATAAATGTATGCCTTACGGATAAATTACTCTTCCGTTATATTATGTGCTACGAATTTCGGGGAGGATAAATCGTTGGAAAGACATTCAGAAGGATTATTTGGATCGTTCCCCCACCTCTCTCTCTCTCTCTCTCTCTCTCTCTCTCTCTTTC